GCATAAGGCATAAGGGTCGGGGTTAGGTACCGATGGGGTGATCAATGGTCGGTTTTTAGTGAAAGGAACCGGCAGCTGTACCGGGGAGATTGCTCTTAACAAGCGAAATGACAATAACCAAATCGTACACAATGGATTTAATGCATTGCAGTATAACCTACAAAAAAATAAAGAACATGTCCCTATTTTTAGGAACAATATGGTCATATTTGGCATAATATCGTGTACTTGGGGTTGGAAAACAGTGTTATATATTTTTTAAAACGGTCACTTTAGTATTTAGGTTTTTATCTGAAGCGACGAGCATCATTTTTTTTACATCTCTGAAAACAGTTACAGGATCAGTGTTGGGAAAAGATAACTATAAAGTTATCTAGATAAGATAACGGATAATTGAGTAATATATCATCTAGATAAGATATTAAATTATTCATTTAACATTTATTTAGCTAAAAGATAAAGATAAATACAATTTTATCTAGATGAAAAATGGAAACGGCTCATTGTTCATTGGACTTGTATTACTATTTACTATTTTACTTTTATAGTCTTTACTCTTTACCCTATATGTAGTTACTGATACAGGACTCGCCTGACATGTATATATATTTGTAAAATATAATTCATAACCATTCTGCTCAAATAAACACCTGCACTTTCGACCATTTTTTTTGTTGGGATTTTGGTCAATGTTAATCTTGAAATTATTATCGTAAAAATTCTTATAAACACGTTTTATATAGCACTAGTAATTATTTCGAGAGTACTGGGAAAAAAATTATCAACATTAAATAAAAACTGAGCACTGTAGTCGAGAACTACGAATATAAATAATAAATTATACGATAATACATATATAACTCTTATCTACTTCTACCTATTAAAAATAGGTAAAAGACGTTTTGTATAATCGACTAAAATACATTGGATTACAATGGAATATTGGACTTGTCTAACAAGCCAACCCCAATGTATTAATAATATATTCTTATATCACTAATCACTATTCATTAGGACCTAGGTATATTAATATTTTTAGGCTAGGACTACATTATGCGTTTCGTCGGGTCCCGAAACCTGTTTTTGTAAAACCCACGAATAAATAACTTAAAAAATAGTTACAATTTCTATCTAGATTAATCACCTCAGATAACCGATTTGTTTATCTAAATAAGATAATAAGATGATTTACTTTTTTTTATCTAGATAAGATGTTAATTACAATTTTTTATCTAGATAATTCCCAACACTGTACAGGATCAACCGACGTGACGTCTAGGAATACTTCCTTAAATCGAGTTATGTTGTTATATTTGATTACACGCGAGTGATAGGTTTACTCATAATAATACTTGGAATAATTTCGATGTGGGTTCAAAAAGTGTTTATATATAAAATACAATATATCATAGGAGACCTCTAGAGGGTAAATACTGTACAGCCACGGTCCGACTGCTGAAATTGGATACCAACGCAAATAATAGAACCATTCAGTTTACAATGCCATATGTCGAGTTTCACATACTCCGAACCCTCTTTCAATGTTAATAGTATTTCTATAATATAATATGTAGAGAATGAAGAGCAATAATGTCGTTCACGCTGGGACGTGCACAGGTAAATGGTGCTGTACACATAAACGGTGTTTATCTGGACCCTAATATTATCTTGTATAGACACGTTATTTCAAGTTTGAATGAATCTCATTCTGAATTTTTCATTTGTTGTGTATTTTCAAGAACATTACTATCGATAACCATAGTCATAATATTATTATTGTAACTATTGACGAAAAGAAAAATGTCCAGTATCTTGTATCTAATGTTTCATTCACTGTGGATGACGCTAAAAAATTGAAAAAACTTTTACTGTGAGGTTATCGGTCAATTATGTAGAATAAATATTTATGAGTTATCTTGAGTGGATAACGATAAAACAAATTCTATCAAAATATCCAACTTACAACTACATTAGCTATTGACTGCAGTGCGAAACCCGCTGAACAAAATAACACAAACAGATCTGATTTTGTATCGAAATTATTTAAGGTTCTACACCATTTATCGATTGTTTTAATTTTTAAAATAAGAATTAACTTTACTTTGTAAAATCAATTAAGTTTGTTAATACTTTTGTTGATTGATTACACAATTATCCTTCTTAATCGAGTTCAATCATTTTAAGGCTGTAGTTTAAACCTAATAGTTATTATTATTATTATTATTTGTATGTCAAGCGATATTTGGAAACAAAGCGCACTGACTAGGTGCATAACGAGTTTTACCATTTGGGGAATAATCGTGGTCAAATTGGGGTGTCAAATTAATTGAAATAATATAACCATTAGGGTCGAACAACGTCTGTTGTAGTGTTGCGGAAATCGAACCCGGCACCGTTAGTCTAACGCATTATGCACACATGTTGACCATTTGTTAGTAATGTTTTTTTTACTCTAATAAAATACCAGGTGATCATTTTACCGTGAACCGCTCAATATCTCATTAGGTTTAAATAATAAATAAGTAACAATGAAGTTTTAAGTTTAGGGCAGGAGGAAACTCCACCGAGTGTATAATTTTTTGTCTGCGCGCACTTCCCCTACCGTCCTAACTTCTAAACTCTTACGACTTAAAAAATAGTTGTTCAAAACTGGTCGCCACCCAGTCAACATTTTTAGTGAAATATACTTAATTTGAAAAGTTATCATTTAAGTTTAAGAAGTTGATATAAAAATGATAAATTATGGGGGGGGGGATAAAAAAAATGTGAAAACTGAGTTAAACATATTGAGCGGTTCACGAATATTATATTATATAACAGACTGTAATAAAAAATGTTCTAAAGTTTGAACAGTTAAAAAAAAAACCATAATCGTAAATAAAACAGAATCGTTGACATTTTATTAAAAATACACACACAATGATAATAAAGTTTTCTTTTTAAAACTGCAGAGGTGATTTACATATTTTAACAAACAAACTTAAAGTACTACACAGCATTTGTGGTAAAATTTTAATACATTGGAAAATGTGCAATTCATCTAAACACGAGTTTTATAACTAGTTTTCATTCAAACGAAAGGTTAAAACGGTGTGCTGTACAATGTTTTAGCAATTAAATTAAAATTTTTTTATTTTAAATTAGCTATCATTTCAAAATTGTTACAATAATTCCAAACACGATAAAAACCCTATTTAATCATTAATTAAAACTAACATCGTAAAGCAATTATAATATAATACAATGAATAAATAGTCAGCCATAACACGATATGTAATAAAAACAGGTGTTTTCTAGTTTTGTTAATTATTTTCAAATAGTACTACACTGAAATAAAAATTTATAGATTAACTATAAATATTTACATTTTAATAAATTATTTTTATGAATAATTCAGTAATAAGATTATAACACATACAATTTGTAAAAAATCACTTAAACTATAGAAACACACAATTCAATTATTTGAGATAAGAACAGAAATACAATATTAGATTTTTTTATTGAATCTTGAAACTAAATTGTTTTCAAGTATTGTACCTGATAATACAAACCAACATTCAACATTAGCCAAAAAAAACAACTGTAACTATTTCATTTCGACATGTAACTGAAGAAAACGTTGATTCAGTTACAATATATTAAACTGTCATAATAGTATTTGTCTCATATATAGAAATGTATAATGAATATATATCATACAACACCTTTCTCTCCAAAATGCTGAATAACGAGATTGATGATTAATTTTTATTAAGTCAATTAAATTTTAAAGTTAATAACCACTACACACGCAAAAATCATTTATTTTATATTCCTCATTCTTCTAAAAAGTGTAAGTCAAACAACCCAATTAATATTTTAATGCCTTCTGGAAATAATCAATTATTTTAATAAACATTGTATGTATTATTTTTATTATTATTCTATATATTAGTTTATTTATCTTTTATTATGTTATATCTTATTATTTTAAATTGTATTATATTATTGTTATTTATACAAACTAATTGTGAATTGGAAATTTCCCGATTTGTCCGTATTAATAAATAAACAAATATTACTATTATTGTATATTTTTTAAATTATTGTTTTATATTACATTGATCAATATCCATCACTTAATTTCAATTCGGGTTAAATTAAAATAATTTAGAATTATTTGCATGTATAAAAAAAAAGTAAATATTTTCAATTATAATATTATTTCTTTATGAAACTGTATCGTTGTTGAACATGAGACCACAAATATTATTCATCTATACGATATTTAAAAAATTCAAGACATAAATTTAAATTTAATGCATAATACGTATCGTGTTGTATAATATTATGTAAATTGAAAGTATAATAATAAATTATATTTGCATAGTTTAAACCATGTTGAGATCAGAATCACGCGAAAGTCCATTTACTCGTTTATCGTTAAATAAGTGTTAAATTTGATAAATTAATTTGATTAGCTTGTTGAAATGTTGAAATCTATTGACAATACATATTTGCTACTAGTTAACGGACAAAGCTTTTTAGAAATCCAAAATATATCAAATGAAACGCTTTATCAAACGTTTTTGTATTAAACAAAATGTTTGCTGTGTCGAAAGTGTTTATAGAGCAGAATAATGTATTCTTTGCATCAACAATTTTTACCACACAACAATAACGAGCTTATATTATTTCAACTAATTCATAACGGTAAACAGTTAGTTTTTTTTTTGACATACACCAAAACGTACGCCTCGACATTTCCTACAAACGAATCGTCCACTTGATACACCTTTTCGTCGTTGCACTCATACCAGGTGTCTGAAATGTGAACAAACGTTTTTACATTTAATTTTACTTAGTACAATGCAATGTTATTAAATGATTTATATTTTGTGTAGCCGACTTACGGTTGCTGTGATGAAACGAGGTATAATGACCAAAATTGCAGCTGAAAAATAAAAACGTCATCGTTTTTAATACGGATTCACAATGAACTAATCGAAAATTAAAATTCACCTATTGCCTTTGTGCTCGATAACGGACGATAAGTCGTACAGACAGTCTTCCCTGTCGACGGCAATCCCGTTTTCACTTTGTACATACTTGGACATATCCAACGAAACCATAGGAAATTGAATAAGAGTCTGCACTTTGACAGACTGATTGTTTTCATAGACAAACCTACTTAGGTGCAAACACAGTACCTGAAAACAAAAAAAAATACATCATACGTCACTCAAACTCAGGAAAAATAATAGACCGTGGGTCCCTAGAAGTTCTCATAAGTCTGTGAGACTATATTGGTCAGAAAATAAGTATCACATAAGCTATGTGATGAATGAACCGTATCAGATAAACTTCTGAAACTCCTGACTGCACATCTATATGCCAAGATGATTATAATAAAACTATAATATACTACACTTATTGTAATACTTTAAATAAGCAAAATCCGTTCATCGGTTTTAGAAATCTTTTTAGGTAAAGAAAAATATAGCTGTAATGACAATTTTTTTTGTTGTAAAAAACTAAAATAATTGATTTAAAATTGTTTTAATTTATATTTTCTCGACAAGTTCTTTCTAATGAGCTAAGAATCAACTTTCTGTATCTCACCTTTTAAGATAAAATTGAAAATTAAGCGTTTATCAAAACCAACAAAGTAAATGGCAGATAGTTCCTATTTGATATACTACTGTAATATAATATGGTGCTCTAAAATTTGTTTTTCCAATAATATTATCTATTTTTTAGAAAAAATACAATTGTTTTTCAGAGGTTTTTTTTTTTAATGTGAATTTTTCAGGAAATTGTCAATCTCTAGTTTTGGATAACTATACAAACATAATAATATTGTTAAATTACAACATTACTTCGGGTAACTGGCTGATCCAGATCTTACTGTTCGACTTCTGACTGCTGTTGCAGACTTTACAGTCCACACGTTTGTCTTGGAGTTGTTCCACTCCGAAAAAACGTTCCAAGCAATCTGAGTAAAAAAAAAAAAACAAAAATTACACAGAAATAATTTAATCAAGATGACCTACTCCAAGACTCTAGTCACTATGCTCACCGGTTAAGGTGCCGACTGAACTATTAGTCGAAACGCCGTTATAATATTCCGAAGGGATACCCAACGAAATTACCAAATTGGTTTCACTCCTTTGAGTGTACAACGATCCACATCCTTGACAGCATTCCTTGAAGTACACCATGGACAACAATATAATAATACATTGTGTTTAGACGATTTTCGGTATTTTTATTAATTTTTTTTTTTTTTTGAAATAATAAGCGATTAAAAAATTACTCGGCATATCAGCATGCTGCTGAACATGGACGTGGCGAATGAGGGATCATCCGAAAATGTAATTTTATCTTCGCCCTCTGCCGGCGGACGTTGCCTAAGCTCAGAATCGAGTTTGTTCAAAACGTACATTAGAAGTTCTACAGCGTCGTTTTGTTTATATTCGCTGAAAACAAAAGAGAAGATTAACCGAACACATCTCGTATTATGTTGGTGTTTCGTGTTGAACAGCTGATTAAAATATAATTATACTAAACTGTTTTGCTATAAAACGTACCCGATAACGTGTTTTGAGCATTCAAAAACCACTTTGTATAAAGAACGAGCCGATATGGAGTTCCTCAGATTGGAGTCCCGAGGCTTCCACTTGCTCAGGCTGGTCAATATTATCTGTAGGTCTTGAACTATATACAACTGCGTTTTGTTTTTAAACAGGTTCAAATTATTGTTGTAGTCCAATTTTTCGAGGTAAACGGTAAACATGTTTATGTTACTAAAAAAATAATATTAATTAAAACGTTTTAGAAGTTCGGTAGCGGCCATTTTTGTTTTGTTTTGTACAAAAACATGACTTGTATGGGAAAAATCAATAAAAAAGGCTCGTTGTGTAAACATTATTTGATATATTATTGTCTTATACAAAATGAAGACTCTACGAATCGCACCCTGTGATGATACGAAGGATAAAATATTGCGAAAATATATGTTAATTTTGTTGGTCTTGAAAACTGAATTAAAAATCAGAAGACTATAAAAAAATATTTATAAAATAAAAGTTTTCTACGAAGACACTTCTTCGTTTTTCTATATAAAAAAAAAAAAAAGTTGTTCACTAACAAAAGGGCTAATTAATACACAATTCATAAGAATCATTATCCTTGTAACCAATATGATTGTTGGAAAAAATAATTTACATATTTTACGTGTCAAATAAAGCCATATTTCTATCAAATAAAAAAGAGCTATGATAAAAAATCCAAACTAAAAAAATGTATATTATGCTAGCTGTCATAAATTACCATGAAATTAAATCTATTTTTAAAAACCGTTTGCGAAATATTGCCTATATTTTCCGGGCCCGATAAATTCAAACAAATAATCTTTTTTGCATCGCTTAAGTAATACAATATTACCCACCTCAGTGATTGCCATATGACATTCATGAAACAACTACTTCCTTCGTTAACCAAACCGACTTTTTCATTGGTCCTGATGCGCTTTATTATTGTTTTTTTTCTAATACTATTCGTGTTTGAGGCTTTTCTTGTTTTCCCATTGGGTTCGCTGGTGGATCCTCTTTAATTTAAAATAAAAAATATATATTTTAGTTTGGGATTAAAGTCTAGTCAATAATATTTTAGTTGATAATATGATCTTACGGAAGTGCCTGTGCCTGACACGCCACGTTCACTGTGTCGCCATCATTTTCCTTAATGGATAGTCTGGATTTTTTTATTGTTCTTTTGCGAGTAGTTTTTGATTTCTTTCTTTTCATATTGACGGTTTGTCTGCGGTTTATATAGGCAGAAATAAAATCATAAAATTAAAAAAATATATATATGATGCGTTAGACCGTAATGTCGGTTTAATAAAATAAATTCATAATAGCAGTAATTATTGTTAATTAATTCGTGTTAAATTATTCGTACCCGGTTTTGATGTTGTTGTTCCGAGCAGTGGATTTTGGAGTGTACAAAACAAATTCCCTCAGGCGGTGCAATTCATCGTCATAACGTTTGGGCTCTACATCTTTACCGCACATGTAACTGGCAATAAACATATTTTAATTTCATTTGTCAAATTCATCAAGGAAATGATAAAAAAAAAGCTAAAAAGAAAAAGTATTTCCTTTGAAAACGTTTAGGAATATAAAAAAAAACTTGTCACGGGTTTCTCCAGTTGTTTCGTCCATTTATAGTTGTTAGAAAGCTCTACTAAACATATTTTACTTATTTTAATACTAACCAATATAATTTTGCAGATTTTATGTTCAAAAAAATGCAATGACACCTAACACGTTCAAAATGAGCCAAATTATGTCCACATAAAATGTTACCACAACAAATTTGCTTGCACTCCACACACATCCAAAGTTCGTTGGTTTGACAGCAAACTGTAAAAACAAAATGAATAACGTATTAAAATTGAACAAACACAATTGCCAATGTTTTTCCAAATTATATTTCCACTTTTAGTGGGGAATATAATGTCCATTCATATATGTTCCTAACAAGATTTTAGTAATGAGAAACTATGAGAAATTATTAATGCTATATTTATTTTTATTCATGTTCTAAAGACAAATGGATTGTATAATATGAAACATTACTATTTTCGACACCAATGTCATAGATCTACAGTATAAACTTTAAATTCTGACTTTAAGTGACAAAATTCTTTCTTAATGCCTTCTGTTCGAGTATAAAATATTAATAATATATTTCGCGTGAGTTTAACAAATTAACAACATACTACAGGGTTGCTACGGTAATTTATCAATTACACTATAACAATTATTCTGGTCATTAAATGATAATGTTGTGAAAAGAAATCGGCTTTAAAATATTCATTTAATACTTATTTCAGACATAAAACAAATTAAAATTAAATATTTTATAGATTAAGATTTCCCTAATGTTAAGTAAACCAAAAATTATTATAACTTAATATATATTTATTCATTTGTATTTATTGAAACCTATGAACACATGAAGACAACATATGGCAATAAACAACATTGTAAGCAATACAAAACATCCAACATTATGCAATAAAATAAAATTAATAAAATAGTTTTTAATGTATGTATTGTCTAAATATTATTACCGAATCTTGTTTCTATTGCGATTAAATAAATACCTACAATAAAATAAATGTTTATTCTTAATCTAAACAGTAAATTATATTAATTTGTGAGCATTTTTACAAGATATTTTTTTCCACGCTAATTTATTTAATATTTTTTTTTTTTATTAATTTACTCGAACTGTTTACTCGTTCGCTCAATTTAATTACTCATTTACTAGTTTTATTTACTCATTTCTTTCATGTATTTACTGAATTTGTAGACTCATTTATTAGATTTATCTACTCAGTCATCGGCTTATTTATTAGATTTGCTTACTCACTTATAACTTACGTTTACTCGATTTTTTCCCTCGTTTAATAGTTTTATTTACTGATTTATTAGATTTATCTACTCATTCATCAATTAATTTAGTAGATTTGTTTACTTGTTCACTAGATCACTTAACCTTTCACCGCACAATGTTCCAAATTTGGTACAATTCTTTAATTAGCGTTTTCCATGAAACCAAAACTAAAAACAAATGTATTTTTATTTGTTTAAGTAGTATTAAGTACATTTATAGCATATGGTTAAAAAAAAAATTCATGCAGTGAAGGGTTAATTAATTTACTCAGTTACTTGATTTATGAACAACATTTGTTTACCCATTTATTCAATTAATTTACTCATTATACTACTCATTTCTAATATACCTTTACTCGGTTTGTTTACTTGGTTTGAATGATTTACTCCTTCGCTCAATTTATCTACTCATGTATTCGAACTGTATACTCATTCACTTAATTTATATAGGTACTCGTTTTGTTGGTATATTTACTTATTTACTCGGTTTATTTTCTCGTTCACTAGATATATTTTTCAGTTTATTTTTTCAAATAATCGACTCTTTTACTCATTTTTTAGTTTTTACTCGATTTGTTTACTCACCTATAACATACGTTTACTCGACTTGTTTACACGATATATTATTTGACGTATTAATAAAATTTGTTTACTCATTTATTTAATTATTTTTTTTAAATTTATTTATTCATTCGCTTATTCGAATCATTTACTCGTTCACTCAATTTATTTACTCATTTACTCGAATATTAGTTGCTCGTTCACTAGATTTGTTTTTCAATAAATGTATTCATAATTATTAGCTCGTTTACTCGATTTATTTGCTCATTTAATCGACTTATATACTCGTGTACTTCATTTATTTACTCGGATCTACTAACTCGACTGGTTTTTTCGTATAGAGGATTTATTAACTCGTTCGCTGGACGTGTTTACTCGATTAATTTACTAGCTTACTCGATTAATTTACTCGTCTATTGAAATTAATTAAGACACTATCGAAGCCTTAAGACATTATCAATAGGTAATTATTATTATCGTGCTATTACGTCTCAAGCTTTAGCTCGAAATCCAAGGGGGTTTTTTTTTTTTAATTTCATGAACAATAATATTACGGTGATATTAGTTTACAGGTGAAAACCGTTTTCGCTCACTTTCGCATTTTTTGTTTTTCTCCAGCTCCAATTTCGATTTGTCCACGTCCAAACCTGCCATGGCGTCCGAGATGTGCGGACAGTAGTAGCTATTGTCTTGATCGTAATTAATGTGGTCATCCACGACGGCGGCGGCGGCGGCGGCAGCTGATTCGCGTCGCCTGTACGCACGGGTGAGATACATTTTGCAGCAATGTTATTAAATCTAACAAAGGGTACACAGAGGAACCGACGAGGGGTGAACGCGATCGACCAATGGGCAAATAACGCGACCTGTTACGGTGGTTATAGTTTCGCTCCAGGCGCGACGCCGACGCAATCGTCCGGACGTCTGTGCCAAAGTTCATGGGCCGCACCGCGGTTCGGCGTAAGAGTAAAATATTTGTATTTCACACTATACACATATAGTACAGTACTTATTGGCTGTGGTGACGCTGCGCACTATGGCGACGCATCCCGTCGGGGGCGCGTGCGCGGGCTTGGGAAGTTTCGGCGACAGCAGAGGGCTCCTTCGTGTCGTTGACAACGAAGAGAAAAAAAAAAAAAACAAAAGAACAGATAATTGAAATCTCCGACGGCGAAAATTCTCGGCACGCTCGTCCCGTCCAACGTGTCACCGGCAAAACGCTTCGACGCCAATCTGCGGGGACGGTAGAAATAATAATAAACATCGACAAAAGCGTTGTAAAGGCGTAAAAATGTGCTGAAATTGAATATTTAATATTCGAGTGGATACAACTCGGGTTGTGATGATCTGTTGCCGCATGGCATCCGTGTATTGTAAGCTACAGCGTAACGAAAATAATTTTCTAATAACAACGGCTGTACACTGTTGATTTGTTCACATATACGTAGCAAAAATGGAAACTGAATTGAGTGCGAGTCATCCCTCTGGTTCGAGAGATTTTCTCAGTATATTAGAATACATTAAAAAGTATGAGTAATGAATTTCGAGGAATTTGCATACACTATTATACATTAGCCCTGAACTCTAGAACTGCCGCCCTAAGCCTAATTTACAGGGCTTAAAATCGTGTCTGTAGTCTTAACTATTCAGGACGGTATTTATTAGAAGGAAATCGCAGTACATATGCAATTTGATACCATTAAATTAAGATAAAAGTTAAGTTTCGTTTATTTGTTTTAGCTCACTTAGTTTTATTTCTCATATTTTCCAT